AGTTTTGTAATTTTTTTTTCAAATTGTTTATCATTAATAAAGTTGGAAAAAAATATAAATTAAAAAAAAACTTAAGAAAAATAAAGATATATATGTTTTTTTAGGCTAGAAGATGTTAGAAGACTCTTGTCCACATCTGCGCCAAGAAGAGGGCGCGCAGACATTTTTAGGTCTGCAGTCTTCAAAAAAACAAACAGTCTGAGAAGGCTAATGTCTGCGTGTGGTCTGCGCGGCGCAGACAGAAGAGGCCACGCAGATCTGTTGACAAAAAACAAACACTACCTAAATATTTTGATTAAGAAATACAGTTAAATAGATCGTTAAAACCAATGAACAGTTTTTTGTAATCTTTCTTTTTTTTTTTTTTTTTTTTTTTTTTACTTCCTATTCATTTCGTTCAAAATTTTAACTTAAACGAGGTAGAGCAAAAAAAAAAGTTCAATGTTTTATTTCAATAATCTTTTGTTTAAACTCTCCATATTATTTAAACAAAAAATAATATGTAAATGTCAATTACTTTTCAGTTTTAACCGATTATTTTGTAAATTTGAGAATTTGAATTGTGTCTTGGTGTACAAAAGTCCTGACAATTAATGCATTATATCACATGCTTATAATTCACTCAACTCAGTTATATTAATTCCATTAAATAGCTGGAGTAATTTAGTTTTTAATTCATTAAATAGTACTTTTATGAGACTTAAATGCAATGATAATAATCATTTCTTAAAAAAAACATTTGGTTAAATTTAAATAAATAAAAGAATCATCGAATTTCCTTTTATTTTTTTCTATTTATTCACTCAATACAAAAGTTTACAAATCAAATCAAATAGGAGAAAACCTATAGAGGGATTGAATTGTTTTTTTCTTTTTTGGAATAATTCGAATCACGTGGGATTTTTGTTTACGAAAACTTTAATGCAATACTAACTTAAAAACTACACAATCTAACAACTACTTATAAAATACACAATTTAATTCTAAAAATGATCTCTAAATTGAATTCAAATATGATTCTTAATATATATTTTTCAAGATCATGAAAAAAAAAATCTATTATAAATTCCCCCAAAAATTGTCAATTCAAGATCAGGAAGTTATATTGATGTTGGATGTCAAATTTCATTTAGAAAAATCTCTTATTCTTACACTTCATAAATAGCAAAGTTTCATGTACCACTTTACTACCAACAAAACCTATATATATTCGGACCTATTTAGCCAGACAAAATTTATTCTAAAGTTTAATGATGAGTTCATATATTTCATGAGAATGTGAATGTAATTGTGGTCCAAATGAGAAATAAATAAAAGAAGGGTGGAGGGTTTGAAAATAAATAAGGTGATGGGTACATGTGGATCCATAGAAGTAGATGGGGTTTCTTTATATCTATGAACATTGCATGTGAAGCTTAAATGTCCCTCCAACTACTCTTCCATTCAACTAAACAACCCCATTGGAGGGTACTTATGTTCCTCAAATAATAAAAATCAACTTATAAATATCAGATAACCATACATCAGTAACAGTAATAACAACAAACCTCACTCATCTCATTAAAATAAAAATATGAGTAGATAGACGACAATCATGCTTCTACAATGGATAAAATGGCTGCATTACATACATGACCTTCAACATGTGCAAAACGGGAACATTCATATGAAAAGAACAACTATCGATCATTTTCTACATGTAAAATAAAAAAAAATAAAAAAAAATAAAAACATAATTTTAATAAAAACATTGGTCTAGTTCGAGTTGAATCTTAGCTTTAAGTTTTTACATAATTCAATATCATTTTCCACTCTCGAATCATATTTGACTTTCTTGGCATAAGTCAACACAATTTGTGACATCATTTATACGATCTCAATCATTATTTGAATTTTGAACTTTGAATATGAACACGATGATGATTTTTTAATGTAGGCCCAAGTAATAGAATTTTATTTTTATTTTCATTTTCATTTTATAATTTTTGAATTTGATATGCATATAATAATGAACTTGGGATATGCCAGATTGTCTATATTGATCAAGACCCTACAAAATATTTATGAAGGATCCTTATTAAATTCATGTCTTCTTCTTCCTTTTTTTATATTCCTTTTCTTAAAACTTTCGTACTTCTATTGACATATGACATATCCGTATTAATTTATTTATTCAAACTCATGATTTAAGTTATCATAACAAAAATCTGAATAAATTGTAGCCGAATAATAAAAATTACAAATTATAATTTATGAACATATAATTAGCACGTGTATGTATTGATTTATCGGGCCATCTCCTCTGCTCTTGACTGAATGCCTTTCAAAAACTCAACAAGTATACGTTGCTGATACGAACCTCCCTCCTGTTTGAAAGTTTTTTTTTTAAGTATTTATAAGTTTAATAATTTAATGATACCAATATTGATATAAAACAAGATTTTTTTTAAGAAAAAAAGTGCAAACCGTTCGAATTAGTGTCCTTTCGATTCGTTTCTTTATAACCGCATAAAGTTCATCCGGTGAGATATCGCCTTTAAAAAGAGACAAATGATTGATCAACAAATTATTCCATTCTGACTCCGGAGCTGCCATTAAAACACCAGTTAGTTGTACTGACTGTGACTGTAACTGTGACTGTGTCTTTTGTCTTTGACTGACAATGACACTGTCTGATATCGAAGGTACAAAAATAGCACCTTTGATGATTTCCTCAAGACATTGTTCGGCTTTTAAAACTTTATTGCCTGCAACAAACAATTCACGGATTAAAAACGAGTTAATTTCGTTTAAATTCAACATGAAATTTGTTATAAATGTAGAGCACCTTTCATGGCATAACTACGTTTCGAGAGGACTCTTGATGCATAAAGTTGTAAAACTTTTTGCAACATTGCTTCAAGACCTGGCTTGTCTCTATCTTCCTTTGCCTGACCCAAACAATAATTACTTCATTTGCAGATACTTTCAAGGATGAGGGCATTCACGTCTTTTGCACAGATAAAAGATCAAAAGCGGGTCCCTTTTCCACCTTTTTGGACGGAACAATGAATTGCAATTATTGTCCCACTGACATCGGTCAGAGTCACAGTCTCATTCAAATGCATGCCTAACACAGTTCAAGGTTATATGTACTGTCATGTCATGTCACGTCACGTCACGTCACGTATCAGATACCTGTCGGAGTTGTGCGTTGACTTCTGATAAAAACCCCTCGTCCAGCTGTCCTTCCTGCTCCCTTTGGTTTACTTCCTGCAATATTATAATCAAATATCAGATACTATGACAACATTCGAAAAGGGCAAAAGAGGAAGATATTGATATGGGAAGGGCAAAATAGGAAACTGTACTTTTTCCATGAGATTGAGGGCGTTAGGATCGCGGGGAGGCCAACAAATCTCTTCCACGTCATCAACTACTGGTTTTAAGATGTCCTTGAGAACATCAGTAGCCGACTCTATTTTTTCCTACAAGAAGAAGAAAACTGCTATATGTGTAAAAAAATGTAGCAAGAAATATAAAATAAAAAAACATTATTATAATTAACGATAACTAGAAAAATGTTTAAAGAAAGTATACATTGGTCTTGTGTACAACACGATCAACTATGCTCATGACAGATGAAGCCAGTTCTTCATAATCTTTCTGAAAATAAAAAATATTTTGACATTAATAAACAAAAAACAAAAGGGGTGTTCCAAAATTTCAATTTTAAAATGTTTACTTTATCATCTTCTGATTTGCAGGTGTCTGTTCTAGCTGCAAGCCGTATCCAGAAACCTTCATTGAAAGCAAGAATATTTTCTACAACAAGCTTTTGCAGCTTTTTTTTGAGGAAAAATAAATAAGTAAGAATGTTTAGAATTGATGGGAAATTTTAGTGGATAGAAAAGGGTAGATATATTATATATATGTACTTCTTGATCTGTTGCATCTTTTAACATGTCTATAAGTCTATCAACTTCCACTGTCTTTTTAAAAGCTTCCTCTGTGTCTTGATTGACTGCAAATACCAAATTTCTCCTGTTTATTATATCCAAAATAAGTGATTTAAGAATAAACAGATCCAAATCAAAGAAAAGAATAGCATGGTTATGATCCAAACTTCAATTATGTGTAGTGGGTGTTCATTTAGTCCACAAAAGAAACAATATTTGTTCATCTACAGTTCTACAGACATCATTAATCCAATATTCAATAACCCTATGTTTCTCGAAGTGTTTGTTATGATAAGATCATAAGCAGAATAGCTATTGGGAAAATTCTAGTCGTGCACAAGATTACCACAATTGATTTTATTCACGTATGATAATGTCTAAACTATATCATGGAAGTGATAAATCATCTTATCTGTCTAGAGAAATGGGGAAACGTATGAACACCTAATCAAATACAATTTCTGAATGCAGATATCATATAACTTAACAACGCAATTACACAACCATGGTGGCAGAATATAGAAACCCTAAAAATACGGAAAAAGCGAAAAGCTCAAATGAATCAAAATTACCTTCGGTTGGTTTCCGTTAGACTGGTTATTGGAAATGTGTTCATGTTCCTAGTTCGAATATGCCATCTTCCAGACGATTGAAACTTTATACAGAAAACAAAAACTGATGTTAGAAAGACAGAATTTTGCCCAATTTATGGAAGAACAATGCAGGTGGTTATCTGTTTGCAGTGTAGAAGGAGAGAAGAGGTACCAACGATATCGGGGAAGGAGAAATGGAGCGTAGGAGGGGTGGGTATGGGGAAGAAAGAAGAGCAGTAGCCATTTTTGGGGAAGGATATATCTTCAGTGAACAGCAATAAAGCAGTAGGATATCGCTGCAGTGTGGAGAAGTGTAGGCAATATTGTGATTAGGCCGGATAGAGTGTCACTAAAACCACATTTTTTAGTTTTTACCTAGCGACATCAGTGTTATTTTAAGAGAAATAGATTTATTAAGGTAATTAATTTTTTGGTTTGTTGATATCTGGATAAATATTTTTTCTTTTTGTACGTATCTAGATAACAAATTTTTTAGAAGTGATCGACCATTATGACCGGCTGTAGCAGGTTACATCTGATCATAACCAGTAATTTACCCAAACCATAGGGACCATTCGTGTAATTTACTCTTATATTTTCGGTTTGTTCACATCTGGGTAAGTATCTTTTTTTTGTACACATCTAGATAACGAACTTTTTGGGAGTGTTCACATATGACCATTATGACCAGATGTAACCTGCTACAGCCAGTCAAAATGGTCATATGTGAACACTTCCAAAAAGTTCGTTATCTATATCTGTACTAAAAAATATAGTTACCCAAATATGAACAAACCGAAAAGTTATTTATCTTAATGAGTCTATTTCACTTATTTTTATTATAAAAGTATGGTTTCTTTGCGTAGGGTGCCATACATTTCTTTTAAGTTTAATTTAAATAAAAACATCAAATTAATTTCATTAATATAAAAAAAATACATAATAAAATTAAAATAACTTAAAAAATAAAAAACACAAAGAACTTTTTAAAAAAATCACAAATAATATAACTAAAACATACTACTAAACTAAAAATAATTTAAAAAATGAAAAACATAAAAAGCTTTAAAAAAATATCACAAATAAAATAACTAAAAGATACTACATGAAGTTTTCATCCGAGAACTTATCTTCCGAGTCATTTGGGGATCCAAATTAAGATTAATGTGTTGAATCTCGTAAATGTGTTTCACAAAGTTTATGTGAAGATTGTGAAATGTTTAGTACTACGTATCAGAAGACGAAGATGACGACGTTTTCTAGTGATTTTGAAAGAAAAAGCAATAGAAATATATAAGAATTGGATTTAAGTTTGGAGAAATAAAGGTTATGAGGTTTTACTTATAAGTAAAAAAGAATA